GTACATACACACACACACACACACACACACACATATATATATATATATATATATATATATATATATATACATATGACTGAATTTTTTGATGGTGTTAAAATAGTGTACGAGAAGATGGACCTGCTGCCGCTGTTTTTGGTCGTTGCCCTCTGCGTTCTTCAGTCCTCCAGCAAACCCATGCTGACGAAGGACCGTGTCCATCACGACGCCCCCCTCAGCAACAATGAGCACGATGATGAGGAGAACTTCAACTACGACCACGAGGCTTTTCTTGGGCAAGAGGAGGCAAAGACCTTCGACCAGCTCACGCCAGAGGAGAGCAAAGAGAGACTGGGGTAAAAACACCCCACATTTTGATGAGCTCTTCACTTGAGAAAGTTCCCCAAATCATTCATTCACTCTCTCTTTCTATCTACAGTAAGATTGCAGAAAAGATTGACGAGGATCATGACGGCTTTGTGACCGCTGATGAGATGAAACGCTGGATCAAACAAGCTCAGAAGAGATGGATCTATGACGATGTGGAGCGGCAGTGGCAGACTCACGATCACAACTCAGACGCTTATGTCTCCTGGGAGGAGTACAAGAACGCTACCTACGGCTACATCCTTGGTGTGTGTGATGTGTTTGAAAAAATTTAGTTTTCAGTTCGAGCTTTTGGACTGACTATCTACTATTGAAATCAAATACATTTGTTAAGACTCTGTAGTCAATGTCTGACCTGAAAACAACTGATTTAAGTCAAAAGAGAAAAAAAATCACATTTACCATGAATAGCTGGAAATCCAGACTAACATCATGTGTTTAGATGAAGCAGATCCCAAGGATGGTTTTAACTACAGGCAGATGATGGCCAGAGATGAGCGTCGTTTCAAGATGGCTAACCATGATGGTGACATGAGGGCCAATAAGGAAGAGTTTACAGCGTTTCTTCACCCAGAGGAGTTTGACTACATGAAGGATATCATAGTGCTGGTACGTCTGGACAATCAGAATGCTAAATAATGTCTTCCATATACCTTTGCTGTTAACTTTTGTCAATGTTTACTCACCCTCATGTTGTTCCAGACCCGTATGACAGACTTTCATCTGTAAAGAGGCTGTTGGCAGAATATCAATATGTATATCATAAATCATGATATACACTACCGGTCAAAGGTTTGGGATCAGTAAGACTAGTAATGTTTTTTTAAAGAAGTCTCTTATGCTCATCAAGGCTGCATTTATTTGATCAAAAATACAGGGGAAAAAAACTTAATCTTGCAAAATGTTATTACAATATAAAATAATGGTTTCTATTTTAATATCCTTTAAAATATAATTTATTTTTCTGATGGAAAGCTGAATTTCCATCAGCCATTACTCCAGTATAAAGTGTCACACGATCCTTCAGAAATCATTCTAATATGCTGATTTATTATTAGAATTATCAATGTTGTGCTGCCAGATATTTTTTTCAGGATTCTTTGATGAATAAAAAGTTAAAAAGAACGGCATTTATTCAAAATATAAATCTTTTCTAACAATATAAATCTTTGCTATCACTTCTTAACAATTGAACACATCCTTGCTGAATAAAAGTTTTAATTTCTTTAAAAAAAAAAAGAAAGAATAAAAATGTACTGACCCCAAACTTTTGAACTGTAGTGTATATTGTTAGAAAAGATTTCTATTTGAAATAAATGCTCTTCTTTTTAACTTTTTAGTCATCAAAGAATCCTGAAAAAAGTATCACAGGTTCCCAAAAAATATTAAGCAGCACAACAGTTTCCAGCACTGATAATAAATCAGCATATTAGAATGATTTCTGGAGGATCATGTGACACTGAAGACTGGAGTAATGATGCTGAAAATTCAGCTTTGATCACAGGAATAAATTACATTTTAATGTATATTAAAATTAGAAAAACGTTATTTTACATAATAATATTTCACCATATTAAATTTTTTCCTGTATTTTTGATCAAATAAATGCAGCCTTGATGAGCATAAGAGGGGGTCTGAATACTTTCCGTACCCACTGTATATACATACACACACACACACACACACACCAGGGATGTCAAACTCAGTTCCTGGAGGGCCGGAGCCCTGCAGAGTTTAGATTCAACCCTAATTAAACACACCTGATCCAGCTAATCAAGTCCTTCAGGCTTATTTGAAAACTACATGGTATGGGTGTTGAAACAGGGTTGGGACAAAACTCTGCAGGGCTCCGGCCCTCCATGAACTGAGTTTGACACCCCTGATTTACACTCACATACAAAGTGTTTTTTTCTTTCTTTTTGGCGCTTGAAGCATCAGCAGTCTGCTAAATGTCTTTTGTGTGTACCCTAAAGAAAGTTGTATGGGTTTGGAATAACTTGATACGTGTTAATAAAGACAATTTTAATTTCTGGATCAAGATTTTGCAGTACTGCTTGGATTGTGGAGGTTTTTGTGTGTGTTTGGTTTACAGGAGACCATGGAGGACATTGATAAAAATGGAGATGGTTTCATCGACCTTGATGAATATATTGGTAAGTTAAATGTTTTCTTTTTTTCAAGAGTATTTGTGTGTATTTAAGAGAGACTGGAATGGACAGAAATCAGTTTCATGTTCAGTGTATTGATTTTGTCTCACTTTTGCCCTTGTCTTTGTGTGTTTGCCAGGTGATATGTACAGTCAGAATGGAGATGCAAATGAACCAGAATGGGTGAAAACAGAAAGAGAACAGTTTACAGAGTTCAGGGATAAAAACAAAGACGGCCGTATGGATAAGGACGAGACTCGTCACTGGATCATGCCCTCCGACTACGACCATGCAGAGGCTGAGGCCAAACACCTGCTGTATGAGTCTGATGCAGATAAGGTAACAGCATGGTAATTCACTGTGACAGCTAAAAATGATGATATGATTGATCTGTTTGTAAGAAATTTTTTATATCTTGACAGCTGCTTGAATAACTTTTATTTCCATGATAGGATGGACGCCTCACAAAGCAGGAAATTGTGGATAAGTATGACTTGTTTGTCGGAAGCCAAGTGACGGATTTTGGCGAAGCTCTGGTCCGACATGATGAGTTTTAATTTTGCCAACTTTGCACTTAAAAAATGCAAAACGAACAATTTATTTTATAGTTTCAAGCATACCACATTGTGTTTACAAAGCATTTCTGTTCTTCCAACTCGATCAAATGCATTTTTTTTTTTTTTTTTTTTATTAGTCATATTGCACCTGTTTTTCCATTACTTTGATGTTATTCAATATTATCATAATGAACGAGTCCCACATAAGTTTAATTTTAGCAGAACTATACACCACAGGCAGGCTTATTGTTTGTAATCAGTAGATTTTATTTGAGATGGTATGTTGCAACGTAAAGTGCAATTTCAATACAAAGGAAGCATGTCCGTGTGCAGTGATGTACATTATATAATGTAGGAAGGGCACCATTGGTGCGGGACAGCATACATAAGCAAACTTTAAAACTTTTAAAGCTTGTATTAATCTCCCATCAGTTTATTGCCTCAGATGCCAAATCTGTTCTGTTCCCATTTTACAGAGGCTCATTTGGTGCTCAAGCTCAATACGAAAATTAAGTTGAGTTAAGTATCACTCCCATTATCATCTCCTATCATTAGTTTCATGTGTGTCTGTGTTGCAGAAACATTCTATCTGAGTGTCGTGGATCATGAAGATATTTCAGATGTTGACTGCTTGTGTCTAGATTAGATACAGAGTCCTCTTCTGGGCTGCTGTCATCTAAATTTGTTGCAATGTCCTCGTTAACATAATATGTGTTTGAGCTTTCTGTGTTGTTGGATTCTACTGCCAGACGTTCTTCAGATCCATTGTATTGACCTGAGTGAAGCGTTAGTGTGCTTAGATGTGTTTGTAAGTTATGAACATCATTAATGTTTTGTACATAAATTTCAGCTACTGAAATCTGAGGATCTAAATTAAGATAATCCGGTCTTCTGGTACCATCTGATTTGAAGCCTTCTGAATAGTTGACAGCCAGTTTATTGGCCTCTGAAACCAAGGCTTTAAGGTTAATGATATATGGCTCTCCTTGAAAAATGGAGAATTCTGCTTGTGTAGTAGTATCTTCGGATGCTGAGTTTTGTGTTGCTGTATGATCTCTTTCTTGACTCTCAGTTGAGTGTCTTCGTATTCTCTGTATATTAGACTTGAATCGGTGCTTTCCAGCTATTTTTTGTTGCCTTATTTCTAGTGGTTTTGCATGAATTCTATCTTCTAAGTCCATGTTTACTTGTGTGTGGTCCGTATTATGTATTTCGAAGTCTCGGTTGACTCTTTTTAGTTTTGAGCATTGAGCACTACTCATTTTGAGCATTTCTGACTCATTGTCTATGTCGTCACAATATGAAGTGATTCTTTGTGATTGTATTTTAAATTCTTCTGGGAGATCTAAATCGTCATTTCCTGATTCACAATCCATGTTCATTTCTTCTGAATCGGTACAAATCTCCGCCTCTGTTGTGAACGTAGTCTCCGTATTTCCTTCACACTCCTCGTCGCATTCCCGAACCACAACATAGTCGTGAAATGTCACAGTTTTATTGTTAAACCTGTTCGCGGGCCTCCCGTTGGGCCGCAGTGCCAGATAATTGCGTCTTGGTTGCCGTAAGGATTTGTTGAAGGTAGCTGATGGTAAGTTCACAGATGATGATGGCAGTGGTTCCTCTATTTTGGTGTAGATGCCTTGTTTGTCGTAAAAATTTGAGGTGGAGTAGTCGTACTCGCTGAACGCCTCGTTGTGATATGAGAGCGTTTCCTCCACTAGGGTCATCGGTCGGCTCTGGTTAATCTGTCGGAGAAAAACTGACCGTCAGCTGGATTTACAGTTGCTTGTCAAAACACATTTCTATTGTTTAAAAGCACAAATGCACAAGGGTTACTATGGGAAAATTGAAGGTGCACGGAGTAATATTGTCCTTATTTTAAGATTTAAAACGATGTACAATTCAACAATAAATGTATCTGCATTGTATCACAGTTTCAACAACAATATTAAGCATAATAAATGTTTCTTGAGCAGCAAATCAGCATATTAGAATGATTTCTGAAGGATCACATGACACTGAAGACTGGAGCTATTGGACGTGGGTGTGTGTGTGTGTGTGTGTGTGAGAGAGAGAGAGAGAGAGAGAGAGATGCTGCATGTACACTGGAAAGTCTATAAAGTCCAAGACCACTGCTGTCTTGAAAGTGCACTTTCAAAGTTAGGTTAGGTCTGGGATACTCATAACTCATATAGAACTGCTTCAATAGATAATTTCTAAATGGAAATTCTATTTCCACTTTTTAGGAAATTAAAATATGAGGTTCACTAAGGGAGAATGGAGTAACATTAACTCACCGTCCGGAACCATCTCAGACACTAGACATGGAATATTTGGAAATGCAAAAAGATTTATTTCGAGACTTGTTTTCAAATAGTTAAAAATTCTTAAAATATTATTTTTGGTTTTTGTGTATTTATACAAGCTATCAAAAGAGAACGAGCAGAAAGAAGTCCATTTTTTTTAAGTGTCAAAATTGACTAAACACATTTCAAATAATTATAAATTGTTACTAAATTATATTACTATTTTCTATTTGAATATATTTTAAAATGTCATTTCTAAATTAGTTTCTTATTCCAGGAGCATAAGGTTCAATGGCAGAGGAAGGAGGACCACCTGACAGGATGGTGTACTTTACTGTCGTTCTGAGACCCTCATCACCATCCACCGCTTGAATGGGACCCGGAAAGAAATCCAAGACAATGTCCTGAGTGAAAAATAGACAGACTATAAGAAGGAATCAGATACATGTACATTCCATGGGTCAGTAAGTTTTTTTTTTTTTTTTTTTTTTTTTAAGGAAATTGGTATGCATTTAAGGCATGTATTAAAATGATCAAAAGTGATGGTAAAGATTTTTATAATACTAAAAAAGATTTCTAATTCCAGTAAATGTTCATTTGAACATTATATTCATTAAAGAATTCTGAAAGAAATGATCACTGTTTTCCATAAAAATATTAAGCCGCACAACTGTTTTCAACATTGATAATAACAACAAAGTGTTTCTTGAGCTTCAAATCAGCATATTAGAATGATTTCTGAAGGATCATGTGACACTGAAGACTGGAGTAATGATGCTGAAAATTCAGCTTTGCATCACAGAAATAAAATACATTTAAAAACATTAAAATAGAAAACAGTTATTTTAAATTCATTTTTTTCACAGGGTTTACCTGCTCATTCTCTGTGATGTTGGCAGTGTACAGAGAATTGGCACATATGCGGTTGTTGTGATTGGCTGAGAGAAGAGTACAAGGCTGGAACTGTGGGTATTGGTCGTCCCCATCTGTCACATTGATGATTATTGTTGCAGTTGTGTTGTAGTGCTCATCTGTGTTTGTCTCCTAAAGCCACATAAATATTTACATTAACAGTTAATTTTTTTTCTCATAATTTTACCAAATATGTATTTTTTGTATGTGTTTTACCACTGCATAAAGAATCAGTCGGAGCTGAGTTTTGATCTCGTAGTCCAATGGCTTGTTGAGAATCACTTTGCCACTGTTGGGTAAGTCCACTCGGAAATACCTGGCATCAGGCTGGAAATATACAAACACATGTCCACAGATTATCAAGCCTATTTGATTTATTGCCATAAGAAAAACTTAAATGAATAATTCACCAAAAAATGATAATTCTGCCATCATTTACTCGCCCTCAAGTTGTTCCAAACCTGTATGAATTTCTTTCTTCTTTTGAACATAACGGTAGCTATTGACTTCCATAATTGTTTTTTTCAATAGTATGGAAGTCAATGGCTACCGTCAACTGTTTGGTACCCAACATTCTTCAAAATATCTTCTTTTGTGTTCAACAGAAGAAAGAAACTCAAACAGGTTTGGAACAAATTCAGGGTGAGTAAATGATGACAGAATTATTTTTAGGGGAACTATCCCTTTAAAGGGGTCCTATTATGCTCTTTTACAAAGTCTTGATTTTGTTTTGGGGGTGTACTAGAACATGCTCTCATGCTTGGTGGTACGAAAAACGCATTATTTTTCACATAATTTACATTATCAAAATACCTTTTTCCCCAGCCTGGCACAAACGGCTCGATTAGTTCCGGCTTTGATGAAGGTCCGCCTTCCGAAAAGCAAAATGCGTTGTGATTGGCGAACAGCTTAGACGGTGTTTCAGTACTACCTCGACCCTTGCTCTGTCTTTCAACAAAAGCTTTTGGGAATCCGGCACTGTACTCCCTCGTGTTGTGGAAGCTGTCCTCAGTAAAATGCGCAGCACACAATAGCAAATTGGGGTTATAATGCTCAGGAACAGAGTTAAAAAGTAAACTGCAACCACTGTTTCCTGACATCATCCGCTTTCGGAAGCCCAAACAAAGACGTTTGTGCATGTAGGTGAAAAAAACAGCGTTTCAGGCGGCCGCACACCGGACGAGAAGCGCAGCGTCACGTCACGCCACGTCTTTAAAATTCAAATACATTATTTTCTATGAGTGTAGGCACACCGGCGGCGCCGTTCGGCGTCTGTCCGTGGCGCCCAGCTACGTCGTGTTATACTTGTAAGAATTGTTCTAGACATGCCGAAAATTTGACGGTACAGCACAGCAGCTCTTCTTCTTGGTTTTCTCTGATGGACTAACTCTGCAGCAGCACTTCTTCGTCGTCGTCTCGTCTGATGCACTCACTCAACCAAGCGTTCTAACCACAACCTCGCCCCTCCCCACCCCCCAACCATTCGACTTTCTGAAGGCGGGAATTATTTTTAATGATATTCTAATGAGCCGCTTTGTGATATCACAAAGCCAGGAAAACAAACGCTGTAGTCCAAACGAGCCGTTCGTTGTAGTTCTTGAAAAGGGATTTAAAAAAAACTAAATATCTCCCTTTGGAGTGGACTTTGAGATTTGTAACTTTCTAGATATTTTTTATGCCCAAACATACACACTACACACTGACTAAAATGAGCAAGTAGTGCTAGCAGAAGGTTTCTACTGTGGGTTTGTTGATCTGGTGAGATGTTTGGTTCACCTACTGATGTTTCATCAATGACGTATGTGAGTGTGTCTCTATCAGCATCTGTGGCCTGGGCTGTAAACACTACAGAGTTTACCGCTGTTAACTGAACAAACACATCAAACAGCAGAAGATGGGAGAAGATCTCAGGAATGGAGTAAAATATGGGAAAATGTTTTAAATATATGCCGCTCAAAACTCGATAAGACTTTAATGTTTTTGAAAGTTTCTTATGCTCACCAAGGCTGCATTTATTTGATCAAAAGTACAGTAAAACTGTAATATTGTGAAATATTATTACAATTTCAAATAACTGTTTTTTTTTTGTTTTTTTGAATATATTTTAAAATGTAATTTATTCCTGTGATGCGAATCTGAATTTTCAGCATCACGACTCCAGTCTTCAGTTTCACATGATCCTAAAGAAATCACTCTAATATTAATTCGAAAAAGAAATCTTTGGTAGTATTTTTAATGCCTTTACTTTCACCTTTGATCAATTTAATGCATCCTTGATGAATAAAAGTATTCATATCTCATTTTGAATGGTAGCGTATGTCAACACACGAAAGAGAATGTATGTTGAGTTTTGTTTCTGCTGTGTTTTACCTCACTGAGCAGCAGAGGATGAACTGAACTTTGTAGGAACTCGGGTTTGTTGTCATTCTCGTTCAGAACCTCTACCATGATCCTGTGTTCAGCCTGACAGCAACATTACTTTTAATTGACAAGTATAAATTGTATAGATAAATCCAGTTTTCTAAGAGGATGCTGCTGTATGTCACAGGTTATTCAACTTACCTGTAGGACTTTGTGTTCGTAACACCTTACAGTTGCTGTTAAAAGTGAGCCGTGTATCTGTAATGTCATTATAGACAAATCATATTAATAATTGAAACAAAATCATGACAGAAGATGATAGTGTAATAGCCTAAAGATTTGTTTTAATGTTACCTCTCTATCAATAATCTTAGTTAATGTTGAGTTCAGTCTAATGGTCCTTCCCTCCAGATAAAACCAATCGGCATCTTTTCCAGAAAGTTTTAAGCGCATGTGATTGGCTGATGGGTGTGCAGTGAAACTGAGGGTGGCAATAAAAGTCCCCATCAGGCTGTTCTCTTTGACTTTGGCAAGCAGGTCATGCCCACCGTCACAATCGTTAGCTGCCAAAAATAGACACATTTCATTTATTTTAATAGCATTTTCTTTATATTTCTAATTACATTCGCTGTAATGTAAAATGTTGGCTTATTTTCTATGTCCAGTTGATAGTAAATTACAAATGTATCTGGTAATGATTTAATTTGTCAGTTATTAAGGTGACGTGACATGTGGCCAAGTATGGTGACCCATACTCGGAATTAGTGCCCTGCATTTAACCCATCCAAAGTGAACACACACACTGTGAACACACACCCGGAGCAGTGGGCAGCCATTTATGCTGCGGCGCCTGGGGAGCAGTTGGGGGTTCGGTGCCTTGCTCAAGGGCACCTCAGTCGTGGTATTGAAGGTGGGAGAGAGCGCTGTACATTCACTCCCCCCACCTACAATCCCTGCCGGTACGAGACTCGAACCCTTATGAGTCCGACTCTCTAACCATTAGGCCACAACTTCCCGTCTACATCATGTCTGTACAAGGAGCTTGATGTTCAGCACAGCTCTGACAGATTAGCTTGACTGGATACTGATTTGTTCTTAATTTTCCGTGGCGCACAGATTGGAATTCCTTAATTCCGTAATTCCCTGCTCAAACAGAATTCTTTCAGAACTGTATTCGCCTACTGTACTCAATATTTAGCACATGATGTTGTTAGCTGTGTGAAGTCAATTGAAGTTGTGGACGCATGCATGTCAAGTGTGTGTGTGTGTGCATATGAGTGTGTGTTTGTTTTTTGTGTGTGGTCTGTCTCTGTGTTTGTGTTTATACCAATTACAGAATGCCGGCTGACTGCAGAATATAGCTGGCAGAATATTAGAATCTTCCACAGTGGCTGCTGACTGAAGATCAACCTCAAAACCATCTCTCACTGACAGGATAAAAAACAGGTATGTTAAAAATGACATATTGCATTACTGTACTCTATTATTATGAATTGGCTAATTTAGCTCAAGAGAAGGAACTGGCTTAAATGGACCTAAATGCAGCCTGGAAATATATTATTGCTTTTATGTTTAGAAGATCCGGAGTAACATGACCTTTAAATGTTTTTTAGCAAACAGCCCTGCTCATTTAAGACCCATAAATCTTGTAAGGAAGTTCTCAGCAGACAGATAAGCCTTCTTAAGTGCAAACACCCAAACACACACTCTTACTTACACTGTGCTATTTTAGCTAACTAAAACTGTGCTTATTTAGTTTTAAATAAATGTTAACTGAAATAAAATATAGAAAAAAACATTAAAAATCTCCAAAAAATGTCATCTAGTTGCTAAGGCAGCTTTCCTTATTTTAATTTAGTTAAATGTGATGTACTAAAATAATTAAACTGAAATAAAAATGAATAAAAATATAAAATAAAAACTACTAAAAATAACAAAAATACTCCGCAAAATTACTAAAACTTAAAAAAATTGCAAATTAAAAAATATGACTCAAAATATTATAAAAAATTATAATAGCATCTCAGTTATACAAAGATAGTACTGTGCACAACATGCAGCATTTTTCTTTCAATTTTGTATGCATATTCATTCAAATGACATCCTTTAATTGAAATCTGGAGTTATTGTTAGAATTTGCTAATATTTCACATTATCAGGAGTATTCATTTAGCTCTATCAAATTAAATCAATACAAATTGACTTTGCATCCTTATTTTTCAACATTTGGCTTATAACTGGAATATTTTGGATCCCACATGACTTGTTTTAAGCAACAGAAGAGGATTAAAAGTGAATTAAAGACTGAAAAAATCTGAAAAATAATCACATAATTATATAAAACTTTAATGTTTCCACCATTGTGTCAAAGTGAAGACAAACACTCGTGCTAAGATGTCTGAGCATGCACACAGATCTTTTAAAGTTGTTTGCCACCAGTTATACAAGACTATTACACAAGTTATTTGGAGCATCTCACTCTCTCTTATACAGAAGTCAAGACAAGCCAAAAATAGACTTCAGGACCATTTGAGCTGACAAAACCTGGTCATGCTTTGTTCTCTTATTATTTTGATTATTCACTATTGCATTTGAGACAAAGATAAGAAAGCATGTCATCCTACCTGTCCCATCTAACTGTTCTTCAGGTCCAGATGTCCAGATTTTCTCTCCAAATTACATTATTACCATCCACAGAACTCTTTATTTTCTATGTGACTGTGTAAAAGAGAGTTCGAGTACAGAGTATGTCTGTGACTTGTGTATGAGAGTCCACCGCATGTCAGTGTTTGGATGAGCTGCGAGAGGTGGATTAGTCCGAGGTTTAGTGTTCAAACTCACTGGATCAGAGCCAAGTTAAGAGGTCAAAACAAATGCCTCTGCTGGGTCTAACCATCATCCTAGGCAGGGGTGTAGCCATCATTTCAGAAGTGAGGGGGACAGAAATGTTATATATATATATAATAACATAACAATATAACATTTCTGTAATCTATATAACCTACCAGTCAACAGTTTTTGAACAGTGAGATTTTTAATGTTTTATAAAGAAGTCTCTTCTGCTCACCAAGCCTGCATTTATTTGATTCAAAGTACAGCAAAAGCAGTAATCTTGTGAAATATTTTTACTATTTAAAGGGGTCAAAGGATTTAAAGGATGCTTTTTTAAAGATCATTATTTTGTGTATTTGGTGTAACAGAATATGTTGACATGCTTTAATGTTCAAAAAACACATTATTTTTCAAATACTGTACATTATTGTA